CTGTTCTGGGCCTGGGAAGCCTCCCCAGCTCAGTACAGACTTCCAGAAGTGGCATCCATGCATTTCCGGCAGTCCGTTCTGGGCCTTGAGAAAAAGGGCATCAGCTGGTTCACCGAAATCAACAAAAAATTAGCTACCGGTTCTACTGAACCGGTGCGAACCGGCTGAATCCCACCCCTGCAAATAGTCCTCGATTTACAACCATTCATTTAGTGACTGAACAGCACTAAAAAAAGTGACTTATGACCAGTCCTTGAATTTACTATAGCACTGTTCCCACGGTCACACGAACAAATCTGGGCGCTTGGCAACAGGTATATATTTACAATGCTGGCAATGTCCCGGGGCAATGTGACAACTATTTGTGACCTTCCAAACCAACTTTCAACAGACAAGTCAAGGGGGGGGGGAGAGATTCACTTAAGAGTGTGGTTCACTTAACGGTGATTCACTAAACTGTGACAACAAAGATCATACAATACAAGCTGTACCTGACTTAACAACCATCTTGCTTAGCAATGAAAATTCCGGTCCCAACTGTCATAAATCTATCATATTCTATATTGAGAAGTTCTTTGGAGATTCATCTCCAATGACATGTAGGGCGACTTCAACTGAATGGGTCTTATTGCTTTGATCTGTATGATGTAGAATAGTCTAGCTAGCACATTCTAATCTTCATTTAAAGCAGCGGTTCTCAACCTGTGGGTCGCAACCCCATTTGGGGTCGAACGACCATTTCACGGGGGTCGCCAAACAACGCAGTCTGCCATTTTTTCCCCCCTTTTCCTTAGCTGTGCTACTCCCTTTTATTCTATTGCTTTTGAAAGCCAATAGAACAGACTCTCTTAAATAGAGTCTAATTCTATTGGCTTTCAAAAGCCAATAGGAATTGTCCAGGCTGTCTCTGCCCTGCTGAGCCCGCCAAAAGTCCCCTTCTGCAAACGGTGCTGCAAGTTGTCTGCAGCGAAGGCGAGCTGTCTGGAAGTTTCCACCCCTCCCTGCTGAGCAACTACTAAAAATGTAAGTAAAAGAGGGCCAGGGGTGGGAGGTGGGAGGCCGGCGGGCGCAGGAGGGTTGCTGGCGCGCGTGTGGCCCGGTCGGTGCCTTAACTCCCTTGGGCTGGGCCAGCTGGTGGCCCAGCTGGTGGTCGGCCTGCTCCGTCTCTGCCGCTTGCCAGCTGTGCCTCGGCCGGCACAAGGGGCGGCACCACGCATGTGCGGGGCTCCCGGGCAGGGAAAGTCCTCGACTTACGACCAGTTGGGTAGTCCTCGACTTACGACCGGTTGGGTAGTCCTCGACTTACAACCGGTTGGGTAGTCCTCGACTTATGACTGGTTGGAGTCACGGCATTAAAAAGGTTGAGAACCACTGATTTAAAGGAAGGGGGGGAAAAGAAGCTATTCCAGCCCGGTTATTTTTTTCTTGATAGAAAATCGTATTTGTGAACCTTTTTTTTTTCCATAAATGTTACTGAAAAGTCATCAAGCACAGATATGCACCTCAGACACTGCTAGTGATAATTAGCGATCCATAAATGAAAGAGATAGAGCAACCGAACAATATTCAACTCTGTTTAAGTGTTTCTGTTACACTAAAAGAAAATCTAAAAATAATAAATAAATGGGAGGAGGGGGAGGAGGAGGTGGTGATGGTGGTCTGGTTCATTGATACCGCAATACCAGGTGATGTACGAATGGAAGAGAAACAACTAGAAAAAAAATAACAAAATACCGTGATCTGCAAACTAAAGTTGAATGATTGTGGAGGAAGAAATCAAAGGTTGTATCTGTCAGCGCTGCAAATATTGTATATTCTTGCTTTTGACAATATGCAGAACTGTCTGGTATTTATGGGGTTAATACAGAGCAGAAGGGGGGGTTGGGGGTAAAGCCCAGGAAAGAAAGAGGAAGAAAACCTTTGACCTTCACACTAATTGGATAAAGTGAGATATGATGGCTAATTTAGGGAGGGAACATGCTGATAATTTAACTGCTCAAAGGAAGAGAACTTAGATCCTAGCATCCCTCCATTGTGCCTGTGCCAACATTTTGTAACAATAAAAGACTTTTAGGAAAATAAATGCCTGGAAGTTCTTTGAAATGTTTCATTAGCCGGAACCATAACAGTCCCAATAGTAATAGAAGCCCTTGGAGCAATACCAAACGGGTTGCCTAGACACACGGAAATTTTGAATTAATCAAACCTGAATATTCTGACTTTGCAAAAAACCACCTTACTCAGAACTGCCTAAATATATTCAGACGTTACCTTAACAGCTCTTAGGTCCTTGGTTAAGATTTGAACTGTTAAGTTTTTACCAGTCCCAGACTATGAATTGAATTGATAATGATAATGATAATGATGATGATGATGATGATAATAATAATAATAATAATAATAATAATAATAATAATAATAATATCTGTATATTATATCTGTAATACCATCAAACATCCACATCTGCCTATCCCAGGTCCTTGGTAAGGACTCAATAGGT